GAAAACCCTAAAGACTCCATCAAAAATCTATTAGACTTAATAAATGAATTTGGCAAAGTAGCAGGATACAAAATTAACGTCAAGAAATCGACGGCATTCTTGTACATCAATGATGAACTCACAGAAAGAGAAACTGAAAAAACAATCCCATTTACCATCACGCCAAAAAAATTACGATACCTAGGAATAAACTTAACCAAAGAAGTAAAGGACCTATTTGCAGAAAACTACAGGTCATTGAAAAAAGAAATAGAGGAAGATATAAAAAAGTGGAAGCACATACCCTGTTCATGGATTGGAAGAATTAACATAATTAAAATGTCCATACTACCCAAAGCAATCTATAGATTCAATGCAATCCCCATCAAAATACCAACGACATATTTCATAGAACTAGAACAAATACTTCAAAAGTTCATATGGAACCAAAAAAGACCCCGAATAGCCACAGCAATCTTGAAAAAGAAGAACAAAGTAGGTGGAATCACAATACCAGATATCAGGTTATACTACAAAGCGACTGTAACCAAAACAGCCTGGTACTGGCACAAGAACAGGCATATAGACCAGTGGAACAGAACTGAAAATCCAGAAATGGACCCAAGGCAATACGCTCAATTAATATTTGACAAAGGTGGCAAGAGCATACAGTGGAGTAAAGACAGCCTCTTTAATAAATGGTGTTGGGAAAATTGGACAGCTACATGCAAAAAAAAATGAAACTAGACCATCAACTTACACCATACACAAAAATAAACTCAAAATGGATAAAAGACTTAAATGTGACCCGTGAATCCATAAAAATTCTAGAAGAAAATGTAGGCAACAAAATTTCGGACATCATAAGGAGCAGAATTTTCACTGATATATCGCCTAAGGCAACAGAAATAAAGGAGAAAATGAACACATGGGACTACATCAAACTAAAAAGCTTCTGCACAGCAAAAGAAACAATCATCAAAATGGAAAGGCAACCCACTGTATGGGAGAACATCATTGCCAATGATGTATCAGATAAGGGGTTAATTTCCAATATATATAGAGTGCTCATACAACTCCACAAAAGGAAGACAAAGAACCCAATTAAAAAATGGGCAGAGGAGATGAATAGACACCTCTCCAAACAGGACATACAAATGGCCAAGAGACATATGAAGAAATGCTCAACATCACTAATCATCAGAGAGATGCAAATTAAAACAACAATGAGGTATCACCTCACACCTGTCAGAATGGCCGCCATCAACAAATCATCAAACAACAAGTGTTGGCGAGGGTGTGGAGAAAAGGGAACTCTAATACACTGCTGGTGGGAATGCAGACTGGTACAGCCGCTATGGAAAACAATATGGTGCTACCTCAAAAAATTAAAAATTGAACTTCCATTTGACCCAGTGATCCCACTGCTGGGAATATACCCTAAGAAGCCTGAAACACCAATCAGGAAGAATATATGTACCCCCATGTTCATAGCAGCACTATTTACAATAGCTAAGATCTGGAAACAGCCCAAGTGTCCACCAGTAGACAAATGGATAAAAAAGCTGTGGTACATATACACAATGGAGTACTATGCAGCGGTAAGAAAGAAAGATCTATCCTTTGAGATGACATGGAGGGACCTGGAAAGTATTATCCTAAGTGAAAGAAGCCAAGCAGAAAAAGACAAACACCACATGATCTCACTTATATACGGAATATAATGAACATAACAGTCTGAGGAATACAGTAGACCCAGACACATGGAAGTAGGGCACAGACTGACATCCCTCAGAAGAGGGGATGGGGGGTGAGGGGGTGGGAAGAGATAAACCACAGAACTTATATGCATGTATGCATGACCAATGGACATGGACAACTAAGCCGGGGACAGGGTGGAGGGGGGTGGGGTGGGGGTGCCAATGGGGTAAAAAGGTAAAATATCTGTAACAAAAAAATAAATAAAAATTCATAAAAAAAAAAAAAACTTTGCTGTTTTTTCTGCTTTCCAATGTTCTCTTTATTGTTGATTTTCAGTAGTTTGACTACCTTCATAGTGTTCTTGGGTTTATTGTAGGATTTACAGAGCTTCAACATTTCTTCATAAAATTTGTAAAATGCTTGGCCACTATTTCTTCAAATATATTTTTCCTGCCCCTATTTTCACTTTTATCCTCCTGGATCTCCAATTACATGTGTGCTAACCCACTGGATACTGTTCTTTGGGACCCTGATGCTCTATTCTTCTTCCTTTAATCTCCTTTTCTTCAGATTGGATTTGAATTGATCCATTTTCAAGTTTACTGACACTTTCTTCTGACATCTCTAATCTGCTGATAAATCTATCCAGTAGTTCTTCATGTTATTTTACTTCTCTGTTGTTAACAATTCACTTGATTTTCTTTATACCTTCCATTTCTCTGCTGAAATTCCCTGCTCATTGAGATGACATTTCTTTTAAATCTTTGAATATGCTTTAATAGCCACTTAAAAGTTTTTGCAAAATTCAGCACATCAGTTTTTCTTAACTGCTTTAAAAAAACAAAACAAAACAAAACAAAAAAACATGGGACTTTTGCTATTTCTTTCCATACGTACTTACTTGACTCAATATCAACACACTATAAAACATATGTTGTAGAGAATCTGTATTGTATCCTCCCCTGAAGAGTGTTAATTTTTATTCCAGTGGGCATTTTGATTACTACTTTCAATTTATGTATGCTCTGTTAGTATGAATCTGTGGAAAGCCGAAGGTGTTTCTAAAGCCCTTGCAGATCTTGTCGCAGTGTGATTTCAGTCTATATTCAGGGACATGGACATTTGTTTACGGTCTGAGAGCTGAAATAGAAAGGCAGTGTTCACCCTGTTCAGCCTTAACTGAGAACATGCATGTTGGGCAACTCAAATTTTTCCCACACTGTATGTCTGAGAATGACTACAAAAGTGCCTACAGTACTGATTGGGGCATTAAATAAATTTTAGCAAGTAAGAAAACTTGTAAATATGTAATCTCTGAATGAGGATTGACGATGTATTTATTTTTAGCCTAATAAAAACATTTCCGTGCTACCCTGGCCGGTTTGGCTCAGCAGTTGGAGCGTCGGCCTGCGAGTCCTGGGCTCGGTTCCCGCCAGGGGCACACAACAAAAAACAAAACAAAACAAAAAATCATTTCCGTGCTTAAAGAGATTACATAATTAACTATTTTGATGGTCTTTCCCCTAAACATGGTATTATCTCCTAAAGACACCAAAGATAATTACTCTTCCTGATTTAAGGTCATCATTTAATAAAGTAAACAATGTTAAAATACAATAAAGTCTTTAGGTTTTAGATATATATTTGCTCTTAGATTAAAAAGCTCCATTTGGCAACAATTCTTGAGGCGTGTTTGGTTTTTGCCCCTTGTTGTTTTGTTTTTTAAACAAAAGCTCAACTTATTTTAGCTGTATAATCTAGAGAAAGTAAATTTTATAGGTTTGTTTTCTCATCCATAAAATGAACAAAATGCATTTCCAAGATCCTTGCAGGTCTAAAATTCTACCTTTTCTAACTATCAATACTTTTGGCCTCTAAATGCTATCTCCTTTTTGTAACTTTCTGCTTCTGATCTTCTGTGTCCTGGAAAAATAAGAAAGCCAACTCCATTAGATTATAAAAATAGGATATTTTTCTAAATTATGCATCTACAGTAGTTCCCCTTATCTGCTCTAAGAGCCCAGTTGATGCCTAAAACCATGGAGAGTACCAAACCCAAAATATATGTTTACCTCCTACATACATGCCTATGAAGTTTAATTTATAAATTAGGCACAGTAAGAGATTAACAACAATTTAATAAACTAGAACAGGTATAACAATATACTGTAATGAAAGTTACGTGGATGTGGCCGCTCGTTTCAGGAGACCCCTTGCTGAAAGCTTTGTATACAGGCTCAGTGCTTTCTGACGCAAATGTTGCTGTCAACCGGAACACGTTTTCTGTTCATGCCTTCCGCCACAAATTCAATGCCTTATCCATATTGATCACACGCTATGGCCAAAACTTTTGGAGTTTGAGGTGTGACAGCAAAACTAGCAACTTCTTTTGCCTTCTTAATTTCACTAAGACCTACATTCTTACCATAGATCTTAGCAACCTCAGCATACAATTTTTTTCTTCAAGTTGAAACTTTCACCTTTTCATTTAAAGAAAGCACTTTACAGCTTCTCTTTGGCATATCTGAATTGCCAGAATCATTATTCTTGCACTTTGGGGCCATTAAGTAAAAGGGTTACTGAACACAAGCACTGTACTATGACAGTCAATCTGATAACCAAGCTGGCCACGGACTAATGGGCGAGGAGAGGATACAGCATGAATACGCTGGACAAAGGGATGAGTCACACCCAGGTGGAATGGGGTGAGATGGAACAAGACAGTGTGAGATTTCATGACGCTAATCAGAATGGCGCACAATTTTAAACTTAGAAATTGTTTATTTCTGAAACTTTCCATTTAATATTTTTGAACCATAGCTGACCCAGGTAACTGAAACCAAGAAAAGCAAAACTGTGGATATGGGGAGGACTACTGTGCATATTTTGGCAACAGGAGATCTGTACGCACTTACTCCCTGGATCTTAGCTGTAATCCAAACAGATACATAAAATCAGTGGCATTTCCTAACAGAGTAAAAACAATTCATAAGACACTGTTAAATATAAGTAATCCAAATAACTGACCTGTGGCGTCTATGTCTAGTAAAACAAAAATAATATCTTTCCTAGGATCCTCACTGATCCCATGCCTGGGATAATAGAACAATACATAAGTTTGAAAAGAAGCTATTATAAAAAAGCCTTAGAAAAGAAGACAAGTAAATTTATTGTTGACTTATTTTCTTTATTGAATTAAAATTACTATGTATAAAACAGCAATGTATATACAGAGAGATTTAATACCATAATATATACAACTATCTTTAAAGTCAGGATGCAAGTATCAATAATTATGAATATAAAATTTATATTAAGACATCCTCCATAGTGATTTATTTGGCTGTTTTAGTTCGAAGTCGTCGTTTGAGAATCTGATGATCACTTTCCTTCACTCTATGATCCATCAAAATCTAAAATAAACAATTACACAATTTTTAAATAAAAATAAAAGTTTATTATAATTAGTAAAATATGTTCATGTGCTTATTAACTGAAATAATAGGTACATTATATTTTTTTTGTGTTCTTAGACTACAAGTATACTATCTTCTTCCAAAAAAAAGCATACCTAAAGTAATATATTTTGTAAAACATTATTTCAGCACTATATAATTCTAGAATTAAAATAGTCTACGTTCTGTATCAAATTCAGGACATAGCCCAGCTGGTGTCGCTCAGTGGACTGGGCATCATCCCATGGACTGAGAGGTTCCAGTTTGATTCCCGGTCAGGGCTTCAGGCTCGATACCTGGTAGGGAGCATTCAGGAGGCAGCCGATTGATGTTTCTCTCTCACATCGATGTTTCTATCCCTCTCTCCCTTGTTCTCTCTCTTTAAAAAAAAAAAAAAATTCGATAAAAACATATTTTAAAAATAAATCAATAAATTCAGGTGACTCAATTTTTAAGAAATTATCTTTAATGGCAACAACTATATAACTTAACAAAGTTGAAAGAGAATTATATTGCAACTAAAAAAAAGAAACAATTTCAGCCAAGGAAGGAAATTATGTACTAATCAGACAGATGGTGAAAAGTGATGAAGGGAATAGCACTTCTAATAGCATGTCCTAACTGACCCCATTCTTTGCCACTTGCTTTTAAGTGTCCATCCTACATCTGATAGCTGCTGTTGCAAAAAGACTCCCTGATTTTTCTTGGCCATTTCCTGCTGAAGGCTTTTCCTTTAATTACTTTTCTATTTTCACTTTCCTCCACTAGGCAAATGTAAGCATGATAAAAAATTAGAACTTTCCCTGTAACAGCACAGTCTGTTCTGAGTGAGGAGAATGAGTCATAGAGTCATGGTGACAAACGACAGTGTTTTCTCAATAGAACCTGGAAGGCTTAGAGGGAAGGTGGGAGGAAATGACTGAGTGTCAGTTCTGCATCTTTACCAGGCACACTGAAGCCCAGATTTGTACAGCTCTGTGATAGAGATAACAGGAAAAATAGATGTTAAAGGCAAATTACTAAACAGTGATCATTCTACCGATGGAATTAGAATTCCTGATTAGTTTATAAATGCAAATGAATAAATTTGTATGCAATAATGTCACATTTATATTTAATTACCATAAATTTAACACATTTGATATCCAAAGTATAACATTTAAAGCATGTTTTAAGAGATTTAATGTAAAGAATAAAAATTCAAACTATTATAAAATTCAAAATGCTATGAATACTTCAGAATTTAAAATAACACAGTTTTACTTTTAAGAAAACTGAAATATTAGCTTACCACTTGGCCAGATATATCAATAGGAGATGAAATTTCATTTGTATATAATTTCCGTTTGGCCCGTTTTGGTCGAGATACATTTTCCTTACTTACTTCTACATTTGAGAGCTTTGAAGAGCTCATAGTTTCAAATATCTTCTTTGCTATGAAAAAATATATATTAGTTAAATCCTGAAATAATTTTCTAACTGCAAAAGTTTAAAATTCTTAATAAAAAAAATAAAAGACCAAATAAAAAACAAAACACTGTAATTTATAAATGGTCAAAGGACATGAATAGACAATTCACAAAGAAAAAAAGTAAATGCCTAATAAACACATGAAATAAGGATTAAGAGCAAAAACAAATAAGTAAACTATCATTTGACTAGTAAATTATAGTACCATGGTAAGCTTCGGGCATTTTTAAAGACCTGCAAGAGGTTTAGGCCACGTGAACAACGAAGCAGGACACAGAGTGGACCGTGCAGCACTGAAAATAAGGGGGCAGATCTAGCTCAGTACCCACATGTAAACGTGTCCACAGGAATATTAAGTAAAGGTAGTTTGTAACTGTGAGCCCTTTACTCACAGTTAAAACACACTCTCTCACACACGCGCACACACAGTAAGAGATAGCAAATTGCTAACAGTTGACTGCTTCTGGGAAGTGGCATCGAAATTTTAAAATTTCTTTGTACATTTTTAAAATTTTAACAGACACATAATGGTTTTAATAAAAAATATATTTCCATTTGGGAAAACTCCTGGATTAAAAAATCCAGCTCCATAAGGTAAGTTATATTTTTTAAAAAACAGTAAAAACATTTAAGGAAACATGCTAAATTAAGGTCCTACTTGTCAAGGGCTAGGCTGAGCTTCAGAGAGCTGAGCTGCCTGCCAGGTGTCAGAGTATCCAATTAAGACAAGCCAAATAAAAGTAACACTTGAGCTTTTAACCACTTACAGCAACAGAATAAGCAAGATGTTAAACCTGAGAAATCACCAGCTCCCATCCACTCCTTTTCCATATTTTTCCATTTAACTATTTGCTATTTGTCCCTCCAGAGATTTTCTATGCTTGTGCAAACTATACCTAAATACATGGGTGTGTATTTTTTTAAATATATATACAGTTGATCTGGTAAGTTTGAAGTCCCCAAACTGCTCAGAGACATGTGGCAGCAAACTCACAGGAACACCGGTCCACTCTCCCCTCTGAGACAATGTTGAGCAGCCTGCTCGGACACTAACAGTGACAACAGCTCAAGGTGGTTCCATTTCAAAGTGATACTGACTACATTCCTTTTGATGCTGACTCATCTCTGCAACCTGGATTTTTCAGAAGCTGAATTTTCAGTGGTTGTTTGGTCTTAAGTACCAAAGAGATGGAACTACTAGGTGTTTCTTTAGGTGCAGGAGCACAATAAAAAGATTACTGAGTTTCAAAGGCATTTTGAATCAAGAAAGTTTGGGAACCTCTGTGTAAGTTTTACAGAAAGTATATTTACACAGCCTACCTGAATCAATTCAACTGTCCCCTGCCTTTTTTTTTTATGAATTTTTATTTATTTTTTTGTTACAGATATTTTACCTTTTTACCCCATTGGCATCCCCCACCCCACCCCCCCTCCACCCTGTCCCCGGCTTAGTTGTCCATGTCCATTGGTCATGCATACATGCATATAAGTTCTGTGGTTTATCTCTTCCCACCCCCCCACCCCCCATCCCCTCTTCTGAGGGATGTCAGTCTGTGCCCTACTTCCATGTGTCTGGGTCTACTGTATTCCTCAGACTGTTATGTTCATTATATTCCGTATATAAGTGAGATCATGTGGTGTTTGTCTTTTTCTGCTTGGCTTCTTTCACTTAGGATAATACTTTCCAGGTCCCTCCATGTCGTCTCAAAGGATAAGAGATCTTTCTTTCTTACCGCTGCATAGTACTCCATTGTGTATATGTACCACTGCTTTTTTATCCATTCGTCTACTGATGGACACTTGGGCTGTTTCCAGATCTTAGCTATTGTAAATAGTGCTGCTATGAACATGGGGGTACATATATTCTTCCTGATTGGTGTTTCAGGCTTCTTAGGGTATATTCCCAGCAGTGGGATCACTGGGTCAAATGCAAGTTCCATTTTTAATTTTTTGAGGTAGCACCATATTGTTTTCCATAGCGGCTGCACCAGTCTGCATTCCCACCAGCAGTGTATTAGAGTCCCCTTTTCTCCACACCCTCGCCAACACTTGTTGTTTGATGATTTGTTGATGGCGGCCATTCTGACAGGTGTGAGGTGATACCTCATTGTTGTTTTAATTTGCATCTCTCTGATGATTAGTGATGTTGAGCATTTCTTCATATGTCTCTTGGCCATTTGTATGTCCTGTTTGGACAGGTGTCTATTCAGCTCCTCTGCCCATTTTTTAATTGGGTTCTTTGTCTTCCTTTTGTGGAGTTGTATGAGCGCTCTATATATTGGAAATTAACCCCTTATCTGATACATCATTGGCAATGATGTTCTCCCATACAGTGGGTTGCCTTTCCATTTTGATGATTGTTTCTTTTGCTGTGCAGAAGCTTTTTAGTTTGATGTAGTCCCATGTGTTCATTTTCTCCTTTATTTCTGTTGCCTTAGGCGATGTATCAGTGAAAATTCTGCTCCTTATGATGTCCGAAATTTTGTTGCCTACATTTTCTTCTAGAATTTTTATGGATTCACGGGTCACATTTAAGTCTTTTATCCATTTTGAGTTTATTTTTGTGTATGGTGTAAGTTGATGGTCTAGTTTCATTTTTTTGCATGTAGCTGTCCAATTTTCCCAACACCATTTATTAAAGAGGCTGTCTTTACTCCACTGTATGCTCTTGCCACCTTTGTCAAATATTAATTGAGCGTACTGCCTTGGGTCCATTTCTGTCCCCTGCCTTAATAGCCCCTACCCTTCTCTATTCTCCTCACCTCTAGTCTCCAATTTATCCTATTGCTACCACTCAGGTAACCTCATGAAAACCCACTCCTCCACCTGTCCGCTCCTCCCCAGTAATCTCTCCACAGTCTACATGCCAGAAGCATACTGCTACCTGGGATGGCCTGCATCTTCCCTATACTCTCCTGGTACTCCACCTCTGTCAAATTGTCCTCTCTTATAGATTGTGTATAAGTGTGTGTACATATATATGCATGTTTTTGTTTATGTATGATGTACACAGAGTGCACATCTAAGCATATATTAACACATAGGTATTAATGTGGCTAAGAAAAAAGCATTAAGCAACTAAACTCAATAGATATTTATGGAAGTATATGGTTTTGATAAATATGAGTAGGTAATATTTATCTATACATAGAAAAAACCACTAGAAGGATATTATACCATGACAGTAACAGTGATTATCTCTAGCAGGTGTAATCCTGCCAACATTTCAATACTAAGTTAAATTTCACATCTTCTATAAAATCTTCCCATAGCCCCTAATTAGAATAGCTCATTTCCCTCCATCACGACCACAGCACTTTGCTTGTACCTCTATAACTACATTGAGCAGCCTGCTCTGGAACAGTTCCTTAAATGTAGGTCTTTCTTCACTACATACTGAACACCTAGGCATGTCATCCTTTCATGTTTCCTCCCACAGTACCTAACACAGGACAGCGTACACCTGAAATATAATAATTGTTGAGTTTGTATACCCATCAGATATTAGGACATAAAGGGCATTTAATTAATTTTCTGCAAACCTTTTGATTGAAGAATTGTTGGAGAACGTTGTAAGAAGTCTCCAAATTTCTGCAGCGTTCCTTCTTTTTTCTTAGCGGCCAAGTTTACATTAACTGCAGATGCCTGACTCCGTAAAGAATATGTTTTCTGAGATGATGGTCGTGTGGTAACCTAATAAACAAACATTTTTTGTTATTGTTGATGAGAACAGTTAGAAGGAAATATAACAGCCACAGTTGAATTAAACAGGCCAGACTCAGGTTATGAATTCTCAGGAAATTTGCAATTAAAAACATGAGGGAGCCCAGTCCCATGCACCAAAATGTTGCCAGTTCTATTCCCAGTTGGGGCACATACGGCAGGCAGCCAACTGGTGTTTCTCTTTCTCTTTCTCTCTCCCCCCTCTCCCCCTTTCTCTCTCTCTAAAAATCAATGGACATATCCTCAGTGAGGATTAAAAAAGAATACAAAGAGGATGAAAGGGCCAGGAAAGGGCAAAGTGAGTGTGACAGGCAGTGCTATGTTGAGAAGTGAACACATTAAGAAGTGACTGCTACTGGCCATATGCTAACATTCTAAGCTGAATCAGATGAATAGAAATGGAAGACAAATGAGTTATAATTGGACAAAACTGGAAAATTACTAATAAAATTTGACATCTTTAATTTCATCTTCTACTTTATAAATATAACATTAAAATGGCCAATTTTGGACATATTAAGACCAACCGTTTGTTCCTTTTTAACAGAAGAATTTCTATGCTCAGAAGCAGGTGACTTCAGATTAGTTCTGGGTGTTGTATTCTTCTTATTTTCACATTTCACCAATTCCTAAAGATAATACATTTCAGCACCGGTTAATTTAGTGACAATATTTTCTTTCTGTAGACTCAAAAAGAAAGAGAGAAAGGGGCGAAGAGGGGAGGGGGAAGATAATGGTTCTTAACCAGGGATGATTTTTGACCCCAGGGGACATGGGCAATGTCTGGAGATATTTTTGGTTGACATTGCTGGAGGAAGTGGAGTTTTATTGGCAAATAGTGGTAGAGGCCAGAATGCTGCTAAACACCCCTATGATACACAGGACAGCCTTCCTAAAGAAAGAGATTATCTAGTCCCACATGTCAACAGTGCTGAAGTTGAGAAACCCGGACTGAAAGTTATAAATTTTTCCCAACTTCATTTGAAGTATTGAAGTATTATTGACATATAACATATAGAACTTCAAGCTGTACAATATGATAATTTAATACATGCATATATGCAAAATGATTGAAGGTATTTTTTTACACACCATACACAATAAAATCATGAGCTAAATGGAAAAGATGAGAGGGAGAACGTCTTTTATTTGAACCTCGTCTTTAAAATACAGCACAGCAATATGCCCTTTCCTCAACTTCCAAATCCTGCAAAGTATCCATGTCTAAGACCTCTAAGTGAAATCTGGCAACACTGAAAACAAAATAAAATAGAAACAAATAAAAATCTTCAATATAAACACAGGCAAAATGTGAAAATTAATAAACACACTCTGGCCAGGCCCACACGTTCAGTGGATGAGCATCACCCCAAGGACTGAGAGGTCCTGGTTTGATTCCTGGTCAGGGCACATGCCTAGTTGCAGGCTTGACCCCCACCCAGTGCAGGGTGTGCAGGAGGCAGCTGATCAATGTATCTCTCTCACACAGATGTTAGTATCCCTCTCTCCCTTCTCTAAAAAAATCAATAAAAAACATATTAAACACACACACACACACACACACACACACTCTGTCTTCCTTACTAAATAGGCATGACATCTTAGGAAAAGCCTTTTGTAGTATTTATTATTAACTGAACTGAACTAGTAAAAATCCTAGTTATAACAAAGATTATAAGCATAAAAAAGGAAAAAAAGGCAAGAAGAGAAGCAGAAAAAAGATCATGGCTGAACCTCAGAATTCAAGTCACCAAGTAGAACCCATTAGGGTCATAAGAAGCAGACTTCCTTAAAGGGGAAGACAGATGGCATCATGGGAAGCAAACAAAGATGACAGACTGTCACTCCATCACACCTGTAGTGTTTGATAAAGAGCGCTTTGGAGTCTTCACTGGAACAGAATATAACACTGTATATAAAATTTTCATGAGGACCTCAATTTATTACAGCAATGAAGAGCTGGCAAAATCAATTACAACTTGTAAGTTTTACATGATTCACCTAACAATCTATATCTATTCTGAAATACACGTGTAGTGCATAGGAGAGTATAAACCAACAGTAAAATGAATAATTGGCCCGGCTGGTGTAGCTCAGTGGATTGAGAGGAATCAATCTCAATGGAGTCCTCTCCCATGGACTGGTTCCATTCCCAGTCAGGGCACATGCCCGGGTTGCAGGCTCGATTCCCAGTAGGGGGCATGCAGGAGGCAGCCAACAGAAGTTTCTCTCACATCAATGTTTCTATCTCTCTCTAACTTCCTCTCTAAAAAAAATCAATAAAAACATTTTTTTAAGTGAATAATTATATTTTAGCCCTCTGCATACACAGCAAAGTTTCCTTTTCCCTTGAATAAATAAATCAAGGAAAAGTCAACAGAGATGATAAAATTAAAATACTTAGTATTTTAATGGTATAAAATGTATTAAACACAAATTAAATATAGAATAAAAGCTAACTAAGTCTCTACAAAACAATCTTGAAAGGTGTTTTAGGTAGAGCAAGAAATATACTCAATAACATTCATTTAACAAATTTATTACCTGACAGAGAGCCTCAGGAGTATGGTTAATACTATTTCTGCTCTTCCACCAGCTTGAAAATATAGTACTCTTTAAAGGTGTAAAAAAAAAAAAAAATGTTGAAGATAAAGTTATTGTGCTAGAGAGCTTATAATTAGTTTTAAACTTAAAACAAGTTACTTTTAAAATAAACATTATCATTTATTACCTATCTATGACTTGTGGAACAAAAACTAAGCATATCATTCTTTTACTTCCAAAAGGAGGAAACTGAGGGTCAGAAAGTTTATATGACACGGTAGAGAATTTGATAGCCCTACAATCAGAAGGCTGCAATAAGAAGAAGTAAACAGTTTTTAGCCTATCACTAATTAGAGGTCCAATTTTTAATATACTGGCTGTTAGAAAAAGAATTTCTCTTCTAAAAGAAACCATACAGAGTTATGACAACAGAGACCTAAGATTTTAGTTAAATAACAAAGATTATACTCAAGCAAGACAGCCATTTCAGTTTCTCTAATTTCTTTATCACCCATTTTTCTCTTCCACTGAGGGAAAAGTGACTAGCTGGAACAGGATACACTGAAATAGCTCTCCAATAAAACCCACCACCATTTCACTTAACACAACTTCACTGAGACAGGGATAAGCTATATATTTTAATATCCATGACAGTTTTGTTTGAAGGACTATTAAACTACAGTGATATTGTTAAAGAGTATAGACTATGTCATAAACTATGACTTGGGTCTCTTAACAGCAGTGCTTATGAATAGGAGGGCAGTGTAACAGAGTTTAACTATGTATTATAACTGAGCTCAATAATAATCATGTTTGCTTGTTAAATTCACTCATCAGTTAAGTATTTACCTCCTCCATTTCATTACTCTTCCTCTTTCGAGCCTTTGAAATCTTAACCGTCACTGGTAAGGTACAACCAGGGTGCTTCACTGCCATTTTGTTTGGCCGCAAAGGTGTAAATTGAATCTCTAACTCAGGTTTTGGAAATCGAGTAGTTTGATTATTTTCTGTTGACACTTCACAAGAGTCAAGGACTACAAATTCATCCTACAATAGAATTAAAAACAAAAACAAATCTTACTTGCAGAATATAATTTAATAAATCGCAAAGAATTAAGTCTCTCAAATACCTATTAAAGACAATGAATTAGAAAAGATAAAAAGTGTGCTTGGATTAAATTTGCCAGAGCAAGGACAGAGATTGGATTACCATCCACCTTCTCCAAGCTTATACATGGTACATTAAAATCAAAGAAAACTAACAGATCAGTATTTCCCAGTATGAGCCTAAGAATTATCTAGAGAATTTGTTTAAAAGATTCTCGGACCCTATCACAAACCTACAAAATCAGAACTTTCCAAGAGTCTAGAATTTTTAATAAGTACCCAGTTTATAGTTGTTTAAAGTTTGCTGCAAATTCTTTGCTACTCTTCCCAATGAGAGATGGAGTTTCATTCTTTCTGTGAATCTGAGCTGGCCTTAGTGACTTCTACGACCAATAGGAAATAACATCCTGGTTCTTTTGAGGCTCAATCATAAGAAGCCTTGTAACTTCCACCCTATATTTTTGGAACACTAACTTATAGGGTACTCTCCCCTCCTCAAAATGCCTGGCTTCAGAATCTAGCCACTGTGCTGTAAGAAGCCCAAGCCACAGGGAGAGCCATATATATGACCTCCCCAAATCAGCTCTGTGAATGAATCATTTTAGAATTTCAGCACAATTGAACATGTCGATTTCATGAAGGCAAGACAATATGCAAAAAGCCTAATAATACCATTCTCCAAAACTATCAAGTACACAATAACTGCTAGAGTTCTTAGTAGAAAATTGCAATCAAGAGGTTTTAGGACAGCATACATAAATTTATACAGAAAGAAATGTTCCATATGTGATTGCCTGTGCAATCAAGAATTAATCTTGTCCGTGGATCAACTTCAATCTTTTCTACAAATAGTGTGATCTGCAGTGGTCCCTAAGGTCAGTACTAATTATCTGAAAAGAAATGGCTCAGGTTATTTCCCTAGATTAAAATGCCCTTCTCTTCTTGTTCTCTGCTTGGCAAAATTCTAGTCACCCTCATGACCCTGGATGACGTTAACTTCGCTAATCCACATCCACAATCACTTGGGCAACATTTATCATATCTTCCTCAGTCAGTGTTTCTTCTTAGTACTGTGATCACAACAGTTAGCTCAAAAGGTAAAGTCAAACACAGTGGTTGGTCATTTATGTATCTGTCTTAATAGATTCTTTCCTCCTTGAGGATGGCAATCATTCCTTATTTATGTTTATATTCTCAGTATTTAGCGAGGTTCCCAACACATGCTCCCAATAAATGTGTAAAAAATTGTTTTGAAGAATTTTATCTTCAAAACTTTAAATGCATAAAATTTTTATCTACTTCATATAAAATCTGAGGATCTCTATATTATCCAGATTCACAGAATCCTAAACTCACTACAAATTATGGAAATTCATTGTGAGTTATTGAGATTTGGTGTCAAAGTTATTAAGTGGGTATAATTTTAAGAAGATACTATTTACTAAAATACTAATTCAAAAGACCTCTCAGAAGGGCCAATAATCATCCCTGCCTTTTTATGTGGGATTTTCTAAACTGACCAACAAGTTTGTTTATATTAACATATCTCTTATTTGAGATCAATATTATTTTTAGAGGAGATTAATATTTGGAGACCTAATCTCTTAAAAGAATCTCACCTCTACTCAGAAGCCTTTAGCTTTCTTTCCCACAGCAGAAAGAATATATAGCTAATTGTACAGCAAAGTACCTACAATAATGGATTAAATTATATTTGCTTTTCTTATTTGATGATTAATGGTCATGTAAAGAGAGTAAAAAGGTGGACTGTGTTACCAAATGCCTACCTCTACTTCATTGCTGGCAATTTCAAAACTTGTTGACTGAGGTTCAGTTTCAACTCCAAGGTCTGTTGAACTCATATGTCTGGGCTTGCTAAGCCTGGTTTCTTTTTCCTAAAGTAAATATTAAAGCAACAAGTCATTGTAACTGAAAATAAACTAAAACACTTCACCTAAAGAACAGAATATCAAGATCTGAGTGGACTAAACGGGAAGTAATCAAAGACTTATTCAACGACCACTTAACTCTCTTCCCTCCTCTCTTCCATCCTCGGAGACCCAGGAGAGGCTAGACAATTCTCCATCCTCTTCTGAATTTGATATAAAGAGAATTCGAAAGATTACTTTCAAATTCCAAGGTGTTTACATATACTCTTTCATTTTACTTTCATTGTAACCTTTGAGTTAGATTTGTCAAGAACCATTATTCCTACTTTCCAGATGAAATAGAAAATGACATAGCCAAGGCCTGTACTGAGTTGGGATTTGAACCTTGATAAAACAATTTTAAAACTAGTGTCTTAGAAATGCAACTATAGCATTACAGTAGAAAAGACCATACTGAAAACTAAACCTTTCCTGCTAGACACTACACTGTTCATACCACTTTCTCAGTCATATTCCTAAACCCTACTTAAGGGATCTATAAAGAAGTATTAGAGCCCTGGCCAGTTGGGCTCAGCGGTTAGAGCATTGGCCCATGGACCAGAGCTGGGTTTGGTCTTGCTAAGGGCACGTACCTCAGTTGCAGTTTGTTCCCGGCCCCAGTTGGGGTCATGTGGGTGGATACCAGTAGATGTGTCTCTCACATCAGTGTTTCTCTCTCTCTCCCTCTTGCCCCCTCTCTCCCTCCAGCTCTATCTGAAGATAAATACAAACAAGTGTCCTTGGGTGAGGATTGAAAAAAAAATTAATAAGTATTAGATTACATTTTTAAACTTGATAAATTCTGATGTGTGCCTTCTCATCACTGCCATCAAAATAAAAAGTCAACACTTCTTTCTGTCACCTACCCAGAACTATCAAATAAGAAAGATTCTATTGAATTAAAATGTGGGGACAACAGCATGTACTGACTTCCACTGACGTAGAAACTGAACTGTGCTAGTTGTTTTTCACAAATGCTCTCAATTACTTTTCAAACTCTATTTAGGAAGACAACATTATCTCTGAACCAATTATAATAATAAACTCTATAAAAACTCAAAATTCTTGAAAAATATCCATATAATTTTTCAAAGTCTGATTCCCCGCTGATCTACTGAAACTTCCTTTTTTAACCTTTATAGTTAAACAATTGTGAAAAATTTCTACGTTCAATTTTTTTAAAAAGCATAAAAGAAGATTCTACTGACTGTTTTAGAAGCCTCTGATGTGATCCTTCTCAACTGTTCGATTTCGTTATCTTTCTGAGAGTTACTGGAAATCAGTGCTTTCAGCTGTATTTCTAACGCTGCGACCAGCTGATCCCGTTCTTCTCGCCACTTTTGAAGGTTATTATCTTTCTCTGCCAGCTGTGCTGTAAGTATTTCCTAACCAGGAATTAGAGAAAAATGTTAAAGTATATCTTGAAACATTATGTATTGAAAATTTTTTTGAAATTCTATTGTAACACAATAAAAATAACTGTGAACAAGATGCATAACAAATTACATAATCTAGAGAGACTACTTACTGTATTTGTAAAACAAAACACATGCCTTTAGATATATTTAATGTCCACATGCTGTTATTTACCCCTAGACCATCTGATTCCAAAAATCAGCTTATTGGTAACTTCTTTCAATAAACAATTATAACTCTGAAACTAATATCATTACTGAGAAACAAGAGGATAAAATACAGTAAATCAGCCCGGCCAGTGTGGCTCAGTGTTGAGCATCGACCCATAAACCAAGAAATCACCAGTTCAATTTCTGGTCAGGGCACATGCCGGGGTTATGGGCTCGATCCCCAGTACAGGGTGTGCATGAGGCAGCCAACTGATGTGTCTCTCTCATCAATATTTCTCTCTCTCTCCCTCTCCCTTCTCTCTTAACAAAAAAAAATTCAATGAAAACATACTTTTTTAAAAAATACAGTTAAACAAGTGACAAAATGAACGGCAACAAATAGAGAAATGAAAATTTAAAAAATATGTGCAAGACCTAAATATGAAAAACCGTGAAACACTGCTGAAAGAAATTTCAGAACACTTAAAATAAACAGAGAAATAATCTGTCCAAGGATCAAAAACTCATTATTTTTAAGATGTCAATTCTCGCCCGGTCGGCATGGCTCAGTGGAATGAGTGTCGTCCTGTGGACTGAGAGGTCCCGGTTTGATTCCTGGTCAGGGCACATGACCAGGTTGTGGGCTCGATCCCCTGTGGGGTGTGTGCAGGAGGCAGCTGATCGATGTTTCTCACATCGATGTCTCTATCTCTCTCTCCCTAAAAAAATCAATAAAAACATTTTTAAAAAATGTCAATTCTCCCCAAATAAACCTAAAAAAGATCTTAAAATTTTTTTAACTTCCACATCTATAAGTCTATTTTAAATGTTTTTTATAAATTGATTTTAGAGAGAGAGAAAGGGAGAGAGCAAGGTCGAGAGAGAAGCATAGATGTGGGAGAGAAACATAGATCAACTGTCTCTTGCTTTTGTTTCCTAAAATTAACTAGAAGCCTAAAATAACTAATAGCCAAAGAGACATAGTTTGGAGTGGCAAACTCTTTTTCCCTTCACCCCTATCTCACTCCAACACAAAAATCAATTCTAGGATCTAAATATGAAAGGTAAAATCCTAAATAGAACATAAGAAAATACACGTTCTTGAGGTTCATTTGAGCTAAAATAAGTTCAAGAAATTATACTCTTCATGAAAAAGTAGTAAAAGAATAAAAAAGTAAACTAGAAATGGAAAGAAGGTAGGTACTCACAACACATTACAGACAAGGGGCTCCTGTCCAGAAAGTATAAGCAACTCTTACATATCAAAAAGCCCTTCCTTTGTTTCACTGTCCCCAGCTTTAATAAGGTACTCTCAAAATCACCTGGACCCATGCCATGAAATCTTCCTTGAACAAAGTCAAGAACCCATACATTCCAGACTATGCTAGGGCAGACCTGCCTTAGTCCCAGTCCCTTTCCGATGACACTTTGAAGATCAGTGTGGCATTCTACTACAGTTCCACATATGATTTAGCTAGCCATTCTATTCTTAGCTAAATATGTAACAGAAATACATGCACATGTGCACTAAAGAAAATGTTGAAATGTTTATAGAATTTACTCAATAGCCTCACACAAGAAATAATAATCCACACGTCTTCAACATGTAAATGAATTGACTATGGTATCATCATGTGCTAAAATACTCAGCAATGAAAATAGACTAACTCTAGCTATATGCAACAACACTGATGATCTTGACAAACATACTATGTGAACAAAAGCCAGGCACAAACAAATGTATCCTATATATTTACATTTATATAAAATTCAAAATAGTCAAAACTAAGGTATTAAACTAGAACATTTAAAGACAGAATAGATAGTACCACTGGAAAATAAACAGAAGACAGGGCCTTGATGGTGACAGCAATGTTTGTATTTCTTGAACTGGGTGGTAGTTAAGTTGTTGTTGGCTTCACAATAATTGTAAAGAAATACTTAGGAAAAAGGAAGAAGCTAGCTTTCTCTAAGATTAACAATTCGAAGTAGCTTTACTTGCTGGTGTTGCTGCCAGAGGGTCGACTAACTACAAAAAGAAAGTGGCCCCATTCCTGGTTTGGAATTAGAGCGATTATGAGAGCCAACAGTTTTAGTTTCACTTCTTGCATCTTATTATTACCCAGAATGGCTTGTTGGGCTGTGGGACAGAAACAGAGAACCAGCAACAACCTTTCCTGTTATGATAAATGCAGCATCAGAATCCCACTCAACCTAACACTTCCTGAAGGTACTCCTCCTAACACTTCCTGAAGGTACTCCTCCAATCTTGCAGAATTGGTACATGCAATGAAATATATTGCCACTTCAGCCCAGCTGGTGTGGCTCAGTGATTCAGTGTCGACCCATGCACCAAGAGGTCGCTGGTTCGATTCCCGATCAGGGCACATGCCCAGGTTGTGGGCCAAATCCCCAGTGGGGAGCATGCAGGAGGTGGCCAATCGATGTTCTGTCTCATCAATGCTTCTCTCTCTCTCTCTCCTTTCCTCTCTCTGTAAAATGAATAAAGAAAAAATATTTTAAAAAAGAAATATATTGCTACCTCAGAACTGTAGCAATGACAAGTATTAGTCTCACATGATTTGGCATATGACAAAAAAAGTCAAGACTCTAAGAAAACATGACAACTAAATATGCAAAACCCTAGATTAGATCCTAGACCGGGGGGGGGGGTGTATAGGAAAATGGGTAATATTCTAATAAAGCCCATGATTTAGCTAACTGTGATATAATAATATAAATTTGTTGATTTTGATCACTACACAATTAAGTAAGATGCAACATCAGAAGTTGCGTGATGGGTATACAGGAATTCTCTGTACTAGTTTTGCAACTTTTTAATAAATAAAATGATTTGAAAATAAGAAGCAAAAATGTTTTTAAAAATCAGTGGAAAATCATTTTTATTTATTGAAAATTAGCATTACTGTCTTCCCTGAAAAGTTTAGCTGTTATCAGTAAAATTCTGTCATAAAGGCAATACCAACAGACAACAATGTCATACTACCAAGGTACTATTATTGTAAATAGAGAACCAGTTTTTCATTTAAAGATAATGTTACTATGTTGCTCAGTAGTTTCCCTAAGATCAATGATGCCTTTTAACTGTTTTTTGATTAGCAACACTGGGTGTCAAATAGACTAAATTGTCAGTTAAACAGGAGGAAATAAAACAAGCTAAGACAGAATTGCTGTAGGACAAAAAGCTAGGCAAAACTGAAAGTTATTTCTACCTATAGCCTACTGGAAATTATTTAGTTAACTTTTTTAAACGTACTGATAAAATTAGCATATGAGATCAAATAGACACACCAAGTTAGTAGAATGCCCAGTTCAAAATGTGGGGGGAAAAGCTTCACAATGCAGTAGGGATAACCCTGTGACCGTCAAAAGGAATAAATTTTAAGTTCTGTATCTCGATAAAAATGTAATTAGGCATTTCCCAATTTGCTTTAGAGGATGAAAAACATTTAAAATAAGAACATAAGTGAACTTCAAGATAAAATGGGACAGAGAGTCTTCTTTTCTTTTTGGTACACGCCCTTAGTGACTCTCTGGTCCACAGACCCACACTCCAAGCGCTGAGCCAAACCGGCCAGGGCCAGAAGAGTCTTCTTATTGTCCAAGAAAGAATGTCCAAACCTATAGAAAAGTTTTATAAGAGTTTATTTGAGCCAGATTTTTGAGGGCATGCCCAGAAGCAAGAACTCAACAGATTGAGAAAATGCTCAGGAGAATGGCAGTTTTGCAGTTCCTTTTACTCATTAGAGTCAAAGGAGAAAATGTAAGGAAGGTTACATGAAATCCACTGTGGTAGATTAAGGAGATAGGAGAAAGCAAAGCATGGAAATTTCTAGGATTAAATAAAAAGCAAAATGGGAATACACACTTCTTTTACATTAGTGGGTACGGGAATGTTAATAATTAACATACACAGCACATAGAGATAGTATGCAGGGAACAAGATAACAACCGAGGGTTCTGTGGTCTCCTGCTCTGATGGTCTTACACTCTGGTGCCTGCAACTGTGCCTTCAAGGGGTCTAGAAAAAAATTACTCTGACACTTCAAAGGTTTGTTATCCTAGATGCATAAGAACAATGGACAGAACTCACTTAGAGATTGAACTTTGCTAAGGAAGCTATGGGCCTAGGATGTGACTACCCACCATGGCCTGCTCAGTTAGGAATTTGTGATCAGAGCATCCTGTGTGGTTGCTTAGTCACTGAGCTTGTCAGGCCTGCCATGTGCATCCCCTCACCCCCACCCCAGCTTGTCAGGTTTATTATACAGCCCTTTTTTGATTCACAATACAAATAGAAAAGCTCGCTTTAAAAACAGAAAGAAAGAAAACAGTCAACCATATAGAGACAGATAAGAATCCCAGAGATAAATTTAACAAACCAAAAACAGCAGGTGAAATACATTAAAGAGAAAGCATAATTGCTACCGACCACTTCATTTTGTTGCTTTAAACCACGGTCTCTGTCTTCAGCATATTTTTTCATTTCTTTGTTTCGTAGAGTCTCAGCTTCTTTTGCTTGAGTGATCAGCATCATTTTTTCATCTAACCATTTCTTTCTATCAGATTTATATTTCTGTTCAGATTCCTTTATATAAAATCAGTACAAATAATTATCACATGATTAAGTAGTCAAAAACTTATTTTTATACCCTTTTCATAAAACCCACTTTTTACCTTTTTAAAAACTTAAAATTGTTTTTCTTTTAACAGTGACAAGATCCGTTTATTTCAGCTTATAAAATGAACACTGTTGGTTTGTTTTCCTGAGCAGTATTTCCCTTATAAACTTCACTTTGCTAAGAAGTTCATTATTTAAAGACTTTAATCAGTGAGCACAAGAAGAAATAAATATTAAATTCCTGAAAGAGCCCGGCCAGTGTGGCTCAGTGTATTGAGCATCATCCCATGGACTGAAAGGTCCTGGTTCTATCTCCCGTCGGGGCACATGCCTGGGTTGCGGGCTCGATCCCCAGTAGGGGGCATGCAGGAGGCAGCCAATCGATGTTTCTCTCTCACATCAATGTTTCTATCTCTCTCTCCCTTCCCTTCTAAAAAAAAAAAATCAATAAAAAAAATATGTATTTTTTTAATTCTTGAAAGAGCTACAAAGACCAAAGTCTTCCTAAATGCCAGGAGAAAAAAATACTTGATGGTCATTTCTAATTGTATGGTTCCAAAAATAAAATATTCCTGGGTACATAAGATGTCAAATAAAGAATAGCTTGTGTGCCCTGGCCGGTTTGGCTCGGTGGTTAGAGTGTCAGCCTATGGACCAAAGAGTCATTGGGTTCAGTTCTGGTCCAGGGCACAAACCTTGACTGCGGTTTAGTCCCTGACCCTTGTTGGGGTCGTGCGGGAGGCAACCAATCAGAGCATCTCTCTTACATTGATGTCTGTCCGTCTCTCTCTCGCTCTCTCTTTCTCTCTCTCTCTCTCTCCCCTTCCCACTCTATCTGAAAATAAATGGAAATATATCCTTGGATGAAGATTAAAAATAATAATAACTTGTACAATAGGACATTTATTAGTTTAAGGATCACTGAGAACAGCTGGACAGAGAATATAGATGACCAGTAATTTTCAAAGTGGTTCAAAGGCATCTAATTTATACATTCAAAATTCAAATAAACAAAAACAAAACACCACTTTAAAATATATATCCTACTGTTTTAAGAACTTCTAAAACAACTGTATTAGATGAACTATGGCAGTCCATTTCAGAATTACAAATGTTATCATCTGAGATATGTGATTATATCACTCGAGAGCAATGCAAACATTCCAATACTCCTTAATATAAACATTCTCAATATAGTTAATGTATTTTTTCATAGTTAATAGAGCATTTACTTGGAGTTTTCACAATGGAGAGGGTAAATTCTAGAATACATAATGAACAGTTACAAAAGAAAGTAACATTTTTTTGTATTTGTTCAGCATCTGATTACATTCAGCCTGAATTGAAGAAAATAATTTAGAGGCAGCTAACTTTTCAAAATCATTATTATGTTTTAATCATTCTCAAATCTAGTTATGAATGCAACTCCTAATGTACAAAATTTTAAACAGTATTTGGAAAATCTCATTAAAAACATATTCCCCTCACATGTATTCTATACACAGTATGTTAGTTGAACATGGAAAAAAATACAAACACTAAACAGAATATCTTCTATACAGTATGGTTTCAAATATGTCCAAGTGTCCAGATATACACCTCTGTTCTTTTCCAACTTAACAATTACATACTGAAAAGATTTACAATAATCAAAATAATTTTCCTAATGGTCATCTTCTTAAAAACAGTATTTGATGAATAAGAAGTGCAAGGAGTAGAAAAATAGGTAAGACATGGTGATTTAAGTATTAAATATATAGAATATAAAACTGAAGACCCAACCACTGTATTTTCATCAGCAATTAGTTTGTGTTTTGGGAATTTCCACCCTGTGTCATTTTAATGTATACTGAAAAAATTATATCAATATATTAGCACTTCCTAGGAATTATTTTAGCCATATCTGAGACAATTATAAAATATTTACTGAATTCTCCTCTCATGAGAAATATAATGACTACATAAGACATTTATACACCTATAGATAAAATCATACCTGTAATGCATCTTGAAGTTTATTGAGCTTTTTACTAAGCACATCTGTGTTATCCTCAAGTTCCTTGTTTGACCTTTGATTACTTTTGGTTTCCAGATCTTTGTACTTTTCCTTCAAATTCTCCAATTCTATTTGAAAACATAAAACTTTCTTTAAAAGCACATTCAAATTTTACCATTTAGAGATATATGTGGCATGAGATACAAACAAGAATCACAGGGCTCAGAAAAAGAACACAGATCAAGATAGAACTAGCCCTGGCTGGTTTGGCTCAGCGGTTAGAGCATCAGCCCACGGACCAGGGAGTCCTGGGTTTGGTTCCCACTAAGGGCATGTAACTTGGTTGTAGTTTGTCCCCAGCCCTGGTTGGGGTCATGTAGGTGGCAGCCACTTGATGTGTCTCTCAGATTGATTTTTCTCTCTCTTCCTCCCTGTCTCCTTCCTGCTCTATCTGAAGATAAATGCAAACATGTCCTCCAGTGAGGATAAAAAAAAGACAGAACTAGAACTATACTAAAAGCCTCACTGTTAAGATTTCTTACCAAATTCTTAGAGAACAGGAACTAGGGCACCCACTGAATAGTGTTCAAAGTATACAATATAAATTAAATGCATGTCAGTCTTAATTATATAGAAATGGTATTCTGAAGGATAGAATCAGAGTATTTATATAAGATAATACTAAGAGCTAGATAGATGTAGTTGAAAGTGTATTCTTAACATCTGGGGAACCAATGCAAGTTGTCATCCAGTTATTATGAACCTGTCCTTCTTCCCTCTTTACTGTACACAATTTTACTTAGATAAAACAATTATGATCACATTGGAAAATGGCAAGTGACAGGACATTCCAAAATCACACTAAACGTCTTCATTATAAATTATTATAAATACTATAATACATTAAAAAAGAAAGAAATCTAGAAAAATAAAGAAAATGCAAGAATATGTCTTGAGATATTCAAGCAATCTTGTCTTTTACCTGTGGCCAGCCGTGCAGCTTCCTCTAATTTAGCTTCGAGCACTTGATCTTGTTCTACCTGGGTCTGTTCTTGTTCTTCCAGTGTCATTCGCATGTCTTCAATCACTTTTTCTTTAATACTTAGATCTAAAAATTTGCGGTGAACATTTTAGAAATTACTAACATCTCCATCTAGAGATCAGATTTTTCTTGAATTGTTCTAAAAACTAAAATACACTTTTATTAACTATAATAGGATATGAGTTCCATGTACACAGGAACTTTGTCTTATTCACTGCTGTACCCTCACTGCCTGGAACAGCACTGGCATATATAAAGCACCAAATAAATATCTAATGTACAGTAGATGCTTGAACGATTTAAAGAATGAATGGATAGAGGGCAAGATTGAAAAATAAAAGGGAGAGTGAGTGGAAAGGGAGAAGAAAAGTTATCTCTATTTGCAAAAGACCCGACCTTATATATAGAAAATCTTAAGGAATCCAAGAAAAAGGAAGAAAAAATAAAGAAAACCTTATTAGAGTTCATAAACTAGTTCAGCAAAGTTGCAGGATACAAGATCAATATAATCAAATCAATTCTCTTTTTATAGAATACTAACAAACAATCCAAAAATGGTATTAAGGAATTAATTCCATTTTAAAAAGCATTTCAAAGAATAATATACTTAGAAATTAACAAAAACGTGCAAAACTTACACACTGAAAACTAAAAAATATCATTGAAAGAAATTCTAGGTCTAACTAAATAAAATGATATCCCACATTCATGACTAATACTGTTAGGTTGGCAATTTCCCCACATAGACACTCAGATTTGACAAAATCCCCATCAAAATTCCATCTGGCTTTTTTGCAGAAAATGACAAGCTGATCCTAAAATTCATGTAAAACTCCCAGGAACCCCAAAATAGCCAAAACATTCTTGCAAAAGAAGAACAAAAGTGGGAGCATTCACACTTCCCATTTCAAATCTTACATAAAGCTACAGTAACAATACAGTGTGGTACCAGCTTTGAAATAGACATATAGCCCTGGCTGGTTTGGCTCAGTAGTTGGAGCAAAGGCCCAGTCAAGGGCACATACCTGGGTTGCAGTTTGATCCCCAGCCCCAGTCCTGGTCACGTGGGAGGCAACCGATCAGTGTGTCTCTCTCACATTGATGTTTCTCTCTCCGTCCCTCCCTCCCTCCCTTCCACTCTTTCTAAAAATCGATGGAAGAATATCTTCAAGTGATGATAAGCAAAAAAAAAAATTGAGAGTCCAGAAATAAATCCTTATATTCATGGTCAACTGATTTAAAGATAATACAATGGAGGAAACAGCCTTTTCAGCAAATGTTGCTTGGACGACTGAATCTCCCTATGCAAAAGAATTAAGTTAGATACCTACCTCAAACAATATACAAAGTTATACTCTAATGGATAAACTCAGAATGTATCAAAGATCTAAAAATATAAGAACTTAAACTATAAACTCTAAGAAAACCTAGATGACTTTGAAATAGGCAATAGTTTCTTAGACATGACACCTAAAATACAAGCAATCAAAAGAAAATAGGTTAACTGAAGTTCATCAAAATTAAAAACGTTTATGCATCAAAGAACAATGCCAAGGCCCTGGCTGGTTTGGCTCAGTGGTTAAAGCGTCGGCCTGCGGTCGGAGAAACCCGGGTTTGGTTCCCGCTAAGGGCACGTACCTCGGTTACAGTTTGTCCCCGGCCCTGGTTGGATCGTGTGGGTGGTAACCACTCGATGTGTTCATTTCATGTCAACGTTTCTTTCTCTCTCTCTCTCTCTCTCTCTCTCCCCCCCCCTCCCTCTCCCTCTATCTGAACAAAATATCGAGAAATGTCCTCGGGTGAGGATAAAAAAAAAAGAACGCTGCCAAGTAGCTGAAGAACCCAAAGAATGAGAGAAAACATTTGCAAATCCTTTATCTGATAAGGGTCTAGTATCCAGAATATATAAAGAACTCTTACAGCTCCATAATAAAAAGACAAATAACTCAATTTTAAAATGGGCAAAGGGCTTAACAGAAATTTCTCCACCGAAGATATACAAATGGTCAACAGATGAAAACTAGATTATCAGTATCATTAGTCATTAAAGAAACACAAATAAAAAACACAATGACATACTACTTTATACTCACCAGAATGTTAAGTTAGATAGTATTCCCAAAAATTGTATGTTCACCCATTATGAATATGACCTTATTTGGAAATAGAGTCTTTGCAGATGTAATCAAGTTAAGAATAAAGTCATACTGGATTAGGATGGGCCCTAAATCTAGTATGACCAGTGTCCTTACACAAAGAAGGAAATTTAGACAATACTCATGACGAGAAGACACCAATACAGACACAACAGAGGGAAGATGGCCATGTTAAAACAAAGGCAGATAGGAGTTATACTGACACAAACCAAGAAAGACAAAGGATTGCCATTAATTACCTGAAAAGACAAGAAAAGATTCTTCCCTAGAACCTTCAGAAGAAGCATTTCAATATCTTTTTCTCAGGGCTGTGAGAGAATAGTTTTTGTTGTTTTAAGCTACCCAGTTTGTGGCACTTTGTTACAGCAGTCCTAAGAAACTAATAAAGATAGCTATAACTTTAAAAAAGAAAAATAACAAGTGCTAACAACATCATGAAGAAACTGCAGCCCTCATCCACTAATACAATCATTGTGAAAAACTTGTCAGTTCCTCAGAGTTGGACATAGCTACCATGATCCAGTAGTTCTCCTAGATATATATCCCCAAGAGAACTGAAAATACACATTCACTCAAACACTGTACACAAAAATCCAGAAAGGCCAAAAAGTGGAAACAATCCAAATGCCCATCAACTAATACATAAATAGTGACCTACTCATATAATGGAATATTAGTTAACCATAAAAAAAGAATGAAGTACTTACTGATACATGCTATAATATGGATGAAACTTGAAAACATGCTAAGTGAAAGAAGTCAGACACAAAAGGCCATATGTTATATGAATCAACTTACATGAAATGTACACAACAGGCAAATCCATAAAGACAAAGTAGATTAGTGGTTGATAGGGACTAGCTAATCGGTAAACAGGGTTTCTTTTTGAAGTGAAGAAAATGTTCTGGAATAAGATAGTGGTAGTGATCTACAACCTTATGAATATACTAAACCCACTAAAACATATACTTTGCAAAGGGTAAAATTTATGATATATGCATTATATCTCAATTTTTTTTAAACAAATTTACTGAGATAGGTAAGTGAATGGCATTCAGTATTTTTTTTTTTTTTAAACCCTCACCCGAGGACATTTTTTGATATTTTGTTCAGAGAGAGTGGGAGGGAGGGGGAGAGAGAGAGAGAGAGAGAGGGAGAGAGAGAGAAACATCGACATGAAAGGGACACATCAAGTAGGTGCCACCCACACAACCCAACCAGGGCCGGGGACAAACTGCAACTGAGGTACGTGCCCTTAGCAGGAACCAAACCCGGGTCTCTGGGGACCGCAGGCTGACGCTCTAACCGCTGAGACAAACTAGCCAGAGCTGGCATTCAGTATTTAAGTAGAAACGTAGAAGCCAGGAACACCTCAAGAAATAAAAATGCAATTTTTTGTCAAGGGGTGAGTGAATGATGAAAAAGAGAGGAATCTATATAATTTTATAAACAGAAAATCAGGGGTAAGCAGTGGGTAAGAACTCTGCCAAAGTGTGCATGAGTACCACAAGTAGACAACAAAAATGTGTAAATAATGAAGGCCAGCAATATGAGCACTTACAAGAGTGTACCTAAGTGCACTGTGCCATTGTGACATTCTTTTGAGTTAATAAAGTTATTGTAATAATCATAACCTGCTTGTGTTTTTTCATATGAACAGGTAAACTTATTGTATATAAGAAATTTTTATAATATTTCAAATTTAAAAATCAATACAATTTGAGTTTAAAAAGCATAATTCAGCACATACAAGTTAAACCTAAAGTTTTAAATGGTTCTTTTAAACTTTATAAAAATAATTTTTTTAATGTTAAAGTTATTTTACTTGAAGTATATTCTTTACATGAATTTTGTCTAGAAAACCATTTCATGCATTGTGACCTATGTAACTTTGTCTTTATTTTTCACATAATACTGGCCATTACCTAGAGATCAATGTAGCTTTCACTGAATATTTCTTAAGGTTAAAATTTCAAGAATAACTTTACACTGATATGTTACTCATTAGAATCAATGCTTTCTCTTTTGACAATGTTATAGCTTATATTGCCCTCACTTTACTTCAGAATTTTCAAAGGCAAATTGTTAAACCAATTATTATTGCAACTATTTTGCCAGTCATTTTATAGAAGTAAAGGTTTGTTCCTAACCTTTGCATACTCTCTCATACTGTTGTATAGTTTCTTCCACTTTCTGAATACTTAACTGCTCCTGCAAAATAAAAGAATATGAATTAAATGCAAATATAACAAACACACAACAAATTTAATAGTGAGGACTGAAAACAAGGTTCAATATTAGGTTTGAAATCTGTCTCCTACAAAGCCATTAGTCTCAGGCTTCCAAGTTTCTTACAACTTGGAGAAAATGGCAGAGGGAGTGTAAAAAAAAATAATAATAATAGTAATAACTTTATAACTTTAATCTACCTAAAGTTACTGCCCAGTTACTTAACATTTTAAGTTATTGCGTTATTTTATACACCACAAAAAAAAGCTAATCAGGGAAATGGAGGTTTACTGTGTAGTTAATAAAGGAGGAATAAGAAAAACCATTAAAAAGTTCCTTATCAGCAAATTCAAATGCAGAAAAATAGGGCCCTCTATCCCCTCTATGTAGAAGTAGATTGAAGGTCTGAAAAATAACCTAAGCCTTAAGAGCCAAGATTTCAATTATGGGCAGTGAAAATCCTGCAATTCCAGTTTTAACCTGTCAGGTAGTTCAACCTTACTCCTTATCTCATCTAACTTCAGCACTGTGTTCTCACTTTACAAGTCTTAGCATGAATTATTACAGACCTGGAAATCTCTGAATTGTATTACGAAAGTACAGATTTCTTTATTAGGATTATAGTCAGTTAAAATTTTAAATCATATGTTTACACCTGAATATTCATGTTTGTTTCATTGAAAAGTAAACATGCAAAGAATATAATGACCTTTCTTTATTGTTGCCTTATCAATTAATTGGTGTCAAGTAAAATATAACCATTTAAGATGCTTAAGTGTCACTTTAAAAAATTTTTTACAAGACCTGAGCTTTTTCTTTTTACTTTTTGTTTTGAAATAATTTTAGATTTATAAAAGAACTGCAAAGATGGCAAAGATTTCCTGTATAACCTCCACTTAGCTTCTTCTAATTGCAACATCTTCTATTACCATGGTATATTCATTTTAAAATCAAGAAACTAACATAGGACACAAACAGCAGCTGAGTCCCAAAGCTCTGCTATTTAGAAAATGGAAACAGACCTGGCCAGTCTGGCTCGGAGTTAAGAGTGTTGGCCCACTGACCAAAGGGTCACGGGTTCCATTCCCAGTCAAGAGCACATACCTGGCTTGCAGGTTTGACCCTTAGCCCTGGTTATGGTCATGCAGGAGGCAACCAATCAATGTGTCCCTCTCACATAGATGTTTCTCTCTCTCGCTCCCTCCTTCCCTTTCACTCTATCTAAAAATCAAAGGAATAATATCCTTGGGTGAGGATTAACCAAACAAACAAAAAAAAGAAAGAAAATGGAAACAATGATTTTTGTATGGAAAAAAGAAATCAGCATGGTATAATACTATCAACAGTACAGACTATCTGGATTTCACCAGTTTCTCCACTGATGTTCTAGGATGCCATACATGATACAACACTGCATTTAGTCATCATGTCTCCTTAGTACCCTATCTGTGACAGTTTCTCAGTAAATTTTTCTTTAATGACCTTGACACATTTTATTAGTCAGTATTTAGTAAAACATGCTCAGTTTGGATTTGTTTGATATCTTCTCACAATGAGACTGAGTTAGTGGATTTGGAGGAAGAATACCATAGAAAAGATGTTCCCTTCTGATCACCTCAAATCTGGAAATCCATGTTACCAATATGGCTACCTCAGGTGACACTACTCTTGAACACTTGGTTAACATTGTGTCTACCAGGTTTCTCCATACTCTAATCATTAGAAGCAAATTACTATGACCTTATTTAATTTTAATCAATTTGTTTTTCAATTCCAAAAAAGGTCAAAAGATAATTTGGTATAAAAAACTGATTTCTTTAGACACTAAAACATACAGACTCTACTTAAACCATCCTTTTAAAAAACTCATACCTTGAGTTGCTGAATGGTTCTCTGTTTCATATCAATTTCCTGAGAACATTGGTTTTTCTTTTTCTCTAGTTCATTCATTTTAATCCTCAGTAATTTTTCCTCATCACGCATTAGAGATACCTACAAAGTAATGATTATAAAACAAATTAAATACTTCTTTTAATATTAATTGCTTTTAGTTTAAAATTCATGGCCACTAGTTAAAGATTCGTGTCCTTAAAGACCCATTAAAAAATTAGCCCGGTGTGGCTCAGTGGTTGAGTGTCAATCCATGCACCAAGAGGTCACCAGTTCGATTCCTGGTCAGGGCACATGCCCAAATGGTGGGCCAAATCCTCAGTGGGGGGCATGCAGGAGGTGGCCAATCGATGTTCTCTCTCATCAGGGTTTCTATCTCTATCCCTTGCCCTTCCTCTCTAAAATCAATAAAGAAAAAAAAAAAAAAAACATTAAAAAATAAGATTCTAACATAGTACAAGATTCAGCTTCAAAGTATCAGAATATTTCTTATAACTAAAGGAGAATGCATATGAAGAAATCATTTTTTTCTTACATTTTAAGAATCTCAATCTCTGTAAGTGCTCTCAAAAAAGAATCAACAGCATCTTGCATACAACAGCAAAATCATTAGCATAATCAAAATCAAGAAAAATGGCAAGAGGGTGAGGGAATATGTAATTCATATCCTCAAAAGGCTAAATTTCCTGAATATGTAATAAACTTCTTTAAAGCAATAATAATAAAACCAGCAACCCAAGCTAAAAAGACAAAGGATATGAATACACAGTTCACAGAAAAAAAAAATTCAAGTGGCTTTTAAACAAAAAGATGCTGACTCATAATTAAAGAAATGTAAGTAAGATTTATAGTGATACTCTCTTTACCTGTCAAATTAGCAAATATCAAGAAAGTATGATAAAATACTACTTTGTGGGTAAGGGTATAGAGAAAAACATTTCTCGCCCTGGCCGGTTTGGCTCAGCGGTTAAAGCATCCGCCTGTGGTCCAGAGAGACCTGGGTTCGGTTCCCGCTAACGGCATGTACCTCGGTTGCAGTTTGTCCCCGGGCCCCCGGCCCTGGTTGGTTGTGTGGGTGGCAGCCACTTGATGTGTCCCTTTCACGTTGATGTTGCCCTCTCTCTCTCTCTTCCTCTCTCTCCCTCCCACTCTATCTGTGCAAAAAATGGAAAAATGTCCTCGGGTGAGGATTAAAAAAAAAAAATAGAGAAAAAGATATTCTCTTATTCTCATACATTACTTTCAGCACATAAACTGGCATAACCTCTAAAGAGAGTAATAAATATCAAAATTACAACTGTACAAACCCGTGACCCACAAATTCTACTTTTAGGACTTATAACACAGAAAGAATTGAAAATGTTCAAAATGACATTGCTGTATAATATGAATCAGCAAGAGAGTAGAAACTATCAGAACTGTCCAACAATAGGGGACCAATTAACTCACTGTAAATACATTTTATAGCCATAAAAAAACTTTAGAGACTTTTTAAATCCTGACATGAAATACTATTAAGTTAAAAAAAAAATACAAGATTTATAACAACACTTATAGAATGTCTATATTTTTTATAGGAAGAGAAAGAAAGAAGGGCAGAAGGCAGGAGAAGTAAAAAGAATAATAACTGATAACACTCAATACCTTGCAGAGAAACCCGGTGGCTGGGAAGGTAGCAGTTTTTCTTCTTACTGTGGGTTACTTTTATATATTTTGAATTTGGAATCATGTGATTGTATTTCCTATTTTAAAACTAAACTATAATAAAAACTTGTTACAATTGCACTGCATCCTCTCCTAAATATTATCTGCAAAGTAAGTTTTCTTTTTACATTTTGGGGGGAAACTTGAATTTAGCAGTCCTTAAGAAAAACAAAAGACCCCAATCCTACAAGCGGCACATATTTTTCTAAATGCTGGACATTCTTCAGTTTAAGCTGACTCAATTTTCTTTTGTGAAATAACTGTTTTCATCATTTTAACAAAAATTATGGAGTTGCAAATGTTCTGTTCCATCCCATAGTGTCTAAACTCAATATATAAGAAAAACCACTTTTATCATTTAAATCAGATGCAAAGCTTTTCAAGTAGCCTACCTCTTTCTGTACTTGCTTAATCTGCTTTTTGGCATCAGTCAGCTTCTCCTTCAGCTCAGCATTATCTTCCTCCTTCCTCTGAAGATCTGCTTTCAGGGTCTGGATAAGAGCAGAGCTTGCCGAGAGCTCCTCTTTCAGCCTATCAAACACAAACCACTTTTCTATAGTGACATGCCATCAGTCACTTAGGATCATACGTGTAAGACAGTAACAATCTACAAAATCATAGCTTTTCACAAATTTAGAATGTCCAAACCATGAATGAGTCCTTCAGAGAAAATTTCAGATTTTATAAAAAGATCTTTGTATATAACTATTGTTCCAAAGGTCTATATAAACAAAGTTGAAGTTCTTCACTCATCATACATGCTCTACTTCACCAGATTGTTATGACCACCTAAATTATTTAAAAGCTACATAAGAAAATCAGTAAAATAAATGCTTTGCATATTATAAATATTTGAATAATATTTAGCTTACTTTTCTGTCTCCTGCCAGTTGGTTTCTTTTTCCTCTTCCTTTAATTGAAGGGAATGCTTTGCATCTTGCAAATTATTTGTTAATTGTGTGATTTCTTCTTTCAATTTGACTTCCCTTGCATTTAAATCTTTGATGTTTTTGATACAATCCGGATGATTTGCTTGAAATTCCTTCAGATTTTTTTCTAGCTTCAAGATGATAGATTCCTTTTCCAAAATTTCTTCTTCTAACTTGGCTGAATGACTACATTCAGTTTTCTGAGTTTCTAAGATTGTTTCAAGTTCCTTTATCTGCACTTTATAGCAGGCAATGTCCTGTGTAAGTTCTGAAAGTGCTGTCTTTCCTTCAACTACTTGCTGCAGTTGAACATTGAGACTAACATTTTTTTCTTGCAATTCTTCTTTCAGTTGCTGTATAAGACTTTCTTTTTCTTTTAGTAGGGCATCTTGATTTGTATTCTCTGTTTTTAGTCTCTTCTTTTCATCCTCATAGCCTTTTAGTTCTGCTTGTAATTTTTCAATTTGTCGTTCCAGTTCCTGGATCTGATGACTTTTTTGGGAGGAGGCCTTTACAATCTCCTTACATTCTTCCCAAATGGCATCAATACTAGAGTGAAAAGAACTTTCCCTATTGGGTTTAACCTGCTTACTTACCAAATAATCACTACCCAAAGGGTGTAACTGTGTATTTGGCAAATCCTCCTCCTGAGAACCACTTGAGAGATCACGGAGATTGAGGAAATCTATGTTTGAGATCTGAGAAACTGAATCAAGGGTTCGTAGTTCATCTATTTTTGCTTGCATCAATTTTATTTGTGAAACATTATTTGTGATGTTTCTTCCAGCGATTTCTATCTCCTCTGACAATTTTATGATCTTTTCCTTCTGTTCTTGATTTATACCCCTCTGCACTTGTAATTCAGAAACGGCATTGTCATAAATTGACTGAATTTGCTGGATATCTATACGTAAAGAAAAGCTCTTCTTCTCAGAAAAAGAAAGTTCCTGCTGCAAACCAACAATCTGTTTACTTAATTCTGCTTTTTCTTCCTTTTCATTTCTAAGTTCATTCTCAACAATGAGTAATCGTGTTTTCAGCTCTTCATTATCATTATTTTCTTGTAAAACTCTGTTTTCCTCATCTTCTGAAATACTCTGTTGCATTTTTTTACTTTTATTTTGGTCTTCAGTGATAGTTGAACTAGCATGTATAGGTCCTTTAAAAGAAAGGAAAATTGCTATTAATCTGGCAAACCTAGATAAAACCAAAAAGTAATCAGATTAAGCTAATATTCACACATAGGAAACATAAAAGCCAATGAAAAATAAATAAGCTACTGAGTGATAACGCAAAACAGGTTGCAAAACATACATGGTATAAACCCATTTATGTAAAAATTACAGTTCTGTAAATTAATGGAAAGAGTTAGCAATGGAAGTATACCAAATGGCAGTAGCTACCTCTGAGGATTACCAGTTATTTATACTTCCTTTTTATAACTTTCAATATTGTTTCAGTTTTCTGCCACAAATCTTTATTATCATTATAATATGGGACAGAAGGAATAAGATCACATGAAACACCCCAAGACATCCATATCCTAAAGTACAGTTTTAGAGTACAATTATATGAGAGATCTACTAAATTGGTGATTTAAAACTGAAGTACCTTAATTTTTCATGGCTAAACGGGGGGGGGGAGGCCTTGAAAATCTGTACAGAGTTCAGTTAATTAAAACTAAATAAAACTTTCCTTTTTTTCAGGCTGAATATCTACATTTATAGAATATTTCTACCTGCCCTACTTATTCTACAGAATAGTGGTAAGAGGCACAAATAGTTAATATATAATGTATGTTAAAGTATTTTGGTCCTGACTGGTTTGGTTCAGTGGCTGAAGTGCTGACCCATGGACCAAAGAGTCTCAAATTTGATTCCAGTCAAGGAAATGTACCTCGGTTACAGTTTGGTCCCCAGCCCTGGTCCTGTGAGAGGCAACCAGTAGATGTCTCTCTCTCTCTCTCTCTCTCTCTCTCTCTCTCTCTCTCTCTCTCTCTCTCTTTCTCTCCCTCCCTCCCTCCCTCCCTCCCATCCTATCTGAAGATAAATGGAAAAATATCCTCAGGTAAGAATTAAAAAAAGAAAAAAAGTATTTTATAAATGTTTATATAAATACAAGAGCTTTAACAATAATATATGCCATAAATTGAACTATGCCCAGTGAATATTCACTATTAGCTAAAACTTAATATTTAATGTTCATTTTGACAAGTCAATCCACCTCACACAACTGTCAAGTAAAATTATGTTCAAGTTTTTCTTGCAGATTGTATGATTAAATCTTGAAACATAATTCTTAGTCCTCTAGATACACACATTTATTTTTTTTGTTCTCATATAATTTCCATTACTATAATCAGGGTCTAGTGAATGTATCACATCATAGGAAATCATTTCAAAACACATAAGAATCTGACTCTATGGGTCTAAACTTTTGTTTTTCCTGCTCTATTTCACTTCATGATTTGATGTTTATACGTGAACTTTTGACTTTTATTCACTATTGATTTCACCTATACTTTTATTTGGTATCCTCACTAAGCATGTAAGATTCAAATTCCTCATGCTTAAAGAATCCAGCTAGAACTGAAGTACAGCAGTACTAAGCCACAAAAGCAAAAGACAGTTTTAAGGGAGGATTGGCTTGAAATCCTCCTTGTTAAAAAAACCTATTACTTTCAGTGCAATGAATTAAAAAAGTATATTTCGCAATTCTTTTCTTTTTAGTGAGCCCCCATGTTATCCTATGCATATCAGTGCATATTATATTGAAATAATGTTTGTTATTCTTACCTACTAGATTCCAAACTCCCTGAGAGCAGACTCTATGACTCTACTCATCCTTACATACCTGGACAATAATGCTAAATGAAATATTTTTAAATTTTACTACATCATGTACATTCTCCTTTTCTTTTTTTTTTTTTTTTATTCTCACCTGAGGATATTTTTCCATTTTTTGCACAGATAGAGTGAGAGGGAGAGAGAGGAAGGGAGAGAGAGTGAGAAACATCGATGTGAAGGGACACATCGAGTGGCTGCCACCCGCACGACCAACCAGGGCCGGGGACAAACTACAACCGAGGTACGTGCCCTTAGCGGGAACCGAACCCGGGTCTCTCCAGACCGCAGGCCGACGCTCTAACCACTGAGCCAAACTGGCCAGGGCCATTCTCCTTTTCTATCTCTAAGACATATCATTGTACTAGAAAAATAGAATTTTTGCAATTAGTAACCTATTTTAGTTCTAGATATACAGTATACAAATTCAAAACCTGACATACTTCAGTTATATTAACTTGGTTACTTTAGTGTAATTTTATATTTAAAATTTTAAGGTCCTCTCTTTACATTTTATTTTTTTCTTTACTGATTTGAGAGAGAGAGAGAGAAACATCAATGAGAGAGAGAGCATCAACTGGCCCTGCTTGCCCCCCACCGGGGACCTGACCCACAACCTGGGCATGTGCCCTGACCGGGAATCAAACTGGCAACCTCTTGGCACATGGGTCAATACTCAACCTTTGAGCCACACTGGCCGGGCTACAACATCTTTTTACACAATGGTGATTCTCTAGTTTTATTGGGCAGAATTACCAAGGGAGCTTTATTATTAAAATGCAGATTCTTGGGAACAAATACCAAAGATACTGATTTGATAAATCTGGTGTATATTATACACGCAACACATTTAGAATAACTGCTCTAGGCATTTTTTTTTAATTTCTGGAAGAAGTTGACAGTCACCTGTGTTATACATCTGGAATTTACACATACCAGTTGCTTCATTACCAAGCCCCTATCTGGCAGTCCTATTACATGTAATGTAGTTATAAGATTTAAGCTCATGAGTTTTTCCCCTGCCTCTGGCAGGCTTTTGTGAATCCTAGATGAGAGATGACAGTAGCCCAGGAGATACACATTTAATGAATCTGTTCAATGAAGAAGGCAACATGATTTTAGATCATAAAAAGCTCTTTCAAATGAAATCTACCATCCTACATACAAATAAATGTCTTAACTTCCTATATACTAATCACTGTTGAAGTTGTGCGCAAACTAATGAAAAGGATAGCATTTATGAAAGGTTGTTCATCATGTAATATGGGGAAATAAACTTAAGTGATTATTTGTTCTCAATCCCAGCCCTCTACCAGTATCAATTTGATACCAAAGCCAGACAAAGGCATAATGAAAAGAAAATTACTGGCCACAAATCCTGATGAAGATAGATGCAAAAATTCTAAGCAAAATATTAGCAAACCAAATTCAAAAGTACACTGAAAAGATCATACACCAAGAAAAAGTGGGATTTATCCCAAGGATGCAAACACGCTCAAACATATGCAAATCAATAAATGTAATACACCACATTAACAAAATAAAGGACAAAATCATATGATTACCTCAATAGATGTAGAAAAATCATTAAACAAAATTCAACATCCTTTATGATAAAAACTCTCAACTGCCCTGGCCGGTTTGGCTCAGCGGTTAGAGTGTCGGCCTTCGGTCTGGAGAGACCCGGGTTCGGTTCCCGCTAAGGGCACGTACTTCGTTTGCAGTTTGTCCCCGGCCCTGGTTGGTCGTGCGGGTGGCAGCCACTCGATGTGTCCCTTCATGTCGATGTTTCTCTCTCTCTCTCTCTCCCTTCCTCTCCCTCCCACTCTATCTGTACAAAAAATGGGAAAAAAAAATATCCTCGGGTGAGGATAAAAAAATAAAAATAAAAAAAAATAAAAAACTCTCAACTGCATAGAGAGGAAACGTACCTCAACAGAATCAAGGCCATATTATGACAAGCCCACGGCTAATATCATACTGGACACAGAAAAGCTGAAAGCTTTCCCTCTAAGACCAGGAACAAGGCAAGGATGCCGACCCTCACCACTTCCATTCAGCACAGAAATAAAACTGGCCCTGGATGGTTTGGCTCAGCGGTTAGAGCGTCAGCCCGCAGGCCAATGAGTTGTAGGTTCGATTTTGGCCAAGGGCACATACCTTGGTTGCACTTCGTCCCGGCCTTCATCGGGGTCGTGCCGGAAGCAACCAGTCAATGTGTCCCTCTCATGTTGATGTTTCTCTCCCTCTCCCGCCCACTCTCTCTGAAAAATATCCTCAGGTGAGGATTAAAAAAAGACACAAAATTGTCCATTTGCCGATCATGTGACCTTATATACAGAAAACCCTAAATACCCCATCAAAAAAAAAAAAAAAAGTAGAACTCATAAAAGAATTCAGTAAAGTTTCAATACACAAAATCTGTTGCATTTCTATGTACTAACCATAAACAATTGGAAAGAGAAAGTAAGAAAACAATCCCATTTACAAGAGCACCGAAAAGAATAAAATACTTAGGAATAAATTTAACCAAGGAGGTAAAAGATCTATACACTGAAAACAATAAAACACTGGTGAAAGAAATGAAAAAGATACAAATAAATGGAAAGATATTCTGGGTTCATGAATTGAAAGAATTAATATTTTTAAAACATCCATACTAACCCTGGCAGGTTTGGCTCAGTGTTAGAGCATCGGCCTGCAGACTGGCGAGTCCCAGGTTCGGTTCCCGCTAAGGGCACTTACCTCAGCTGCAGTTTGTCCCCTGCCCCAGTTGGGGTTGTGTGGGTGGCAATAAGTCAATGTGTCTCTCTCACATCGATGTTTCTCTCTCTCCCTCTTCCTCCATCTCTCCTTCCTGCTCTATGTGAAGAAAATGCAAAACTGTCCTCAGGTGAGGATAAAAAAAATAAAATAATAAAAAATAAAATATCCATACTACCCAAAACAATCTACAGATTCAATGCAACCCTTATCAAAATTCCAATGGCATTTTTTACAGAAATATAAAAAACAACTGTAAAACTCCTAGAAAACATAGGTGATAACTTCCTTGATTGGTCTTACAGATGATTTACTGGACTTGACACCAGAAGCAGAGGCAGTAAAAGCAAAAACAAGCCCTGGCCAGTGTGGCTCAGTCGATTGGGTGCCATCGTGTACACCGAAAGATTGCTGATTTGATTCCCAATCAAGGTACATCCCCAGGTTGTGGGCTCAATCCCTGACTGAGGTGTGCAGGAGGCAGCCAATCATTGTTCTGCTCTCATACTGAGGTTCTCTCCTTTCTCTCCCTCTCCCTTCCTTTCTCTCTAAA